ATTTCTTAAGAAATCGGATCTGTAATCGAACTAAACTTTTGGGTAAGATGTGGTAATAAAATTAGTCAGTTGGAATGGAATTTTATTTTACTTTTTTTGACGTCTTTAGTTGGTGGGTACAAAGATTAGCCCCGGTCGACTATAACGTTTCTGTTTAAATTAACTATACATATGTGGAAATATTGTTCTGAGTACAATTTTAGGATATTATTGCCACAGGAGTTATTTTTATGCGATTTAATATAACTGAAAAGAGCACTAGACATTAATATTGATAGTTTATGCGTCTCCTTTTGGATTACTGTAAAATTACTAACTATTTTAGAGTAAGAAAATCTGACTTCTTTTAGGAAAAAATAGATGATTTTAAAATCTCAGGTACTATTTTTTTTCTAAAATTGTATTTACATTTTTAAAAAGGAAATACCTTTTAATTCCTCATCAATTTCTTCGAGCAGCATTTAAAACGAATCAAGTGAGTATTTGTACAATTTATTCTATTATTCTATTACTTACCCTGTATGCAGCATCCATACCATGCAATGTAGCTAACATCTTAGCTAACTGCAATTTATAGTTAGCTTTTTCAGTGGCTAACTTGTCTTCTAGTTCCTTGGAAAAGCTTCTGTTTCATTTCATTCTCTTTGAGATAACCGCATCTTTTATATGATCAACGTGCGCCTCGGCCTGTTGTTTTAATTGTTGGCGTAATTGCTTTTCGGCCTCAGCACGAATTTGTATATTTTCTTTGATTTTCAATAGCCAATTTGCGTTCTTCTAGACGATATTCTAATTGTTTAACTGCATCTGAATCACTGTCACCGCGTAACGCATCAATTGCATGTTTTAAACGTAATTCGCCATCGGTTTGCAGTCGTTCCAGTTCCTTTTGTAAAGCCAGAACATGTGAGCGCGCATGCGTTATGAAAAGATCCAAATCATCTTGGGAGACTTTAGTTTTGTTCAGCTAAATTATGCCGGGAATATTGATTCAATTTCGTCCACAAAATAGTTTCGTGCTTTTTCAACCTGGAAAATTTTATAGATAAAAATTTAATTAAAAACACTTTGTAGCCGTATGTTTAACAAATTCAGTGTTTGATGATTTTAAATGTTAAATAAAAAAGTGCAATTATATTAAGGTGATGTTAGACGCAGTTCTATTTCAAATTAATTTATAGAACTTACATTTTTCCAATACTTTTATATACCTGGCATCGTATTTAATTTTGTAAAGTCTTTGACGTTATTAATGTGGTCAACTAATTGTTTTATCTTATTACGTACAGCGATGACTTGATCATCGATTATCAGCTGCGGCATTTTACAAAGCAACTTCTCATTTTTCTAAAACAAAAATTAAATAACAAAATTTATGAGACGATATTCATAAAATTCCTACCAATTTTTCCATAGCTTCATGAGCTAACTTTTCAGCAGTTGCTACAGAACTGTCGCGAGCATTAGTTTTATTTCTTAATGTTGTCCATAAGGAAGTATCAACATTTTCTATGGTTGCATCAACAATTCGTCGTACGTCATTATTAAAGCTAGCAAAATTAGATAATTATAATTTATTTACAAAGAAAAAACAATATACTTTTTTAAGGATTTCGATGGCTTTGTTATATTCCTTAACCGCCAAAGCAGCGGCGTCAACAGCGTGTTCAAGTTCAACAACATTTGAAGGCAATGGTTCAATCGGTTTGGCTTTCGGCTTAGGAGTTTCAACTTTATTCTCAGGTTTAGCCTCGACAGATTTAGATGTGGCAATGGGTATCTAAAGTTTATTGCAATATATTATGTATGGTTAGTAAAAAAAATCACAGAAACATACACTTTTGTACAGGAGCTTTGTTTTAACTCTGTCGGTTTCTAAAATAATTTAAAACAACTTTGTTCTTATTTTTAATTTCATAAGCATCATTTACTTAAGACTTACTTTTAGCTTCATCTTTATTCGAGCTACCAAATAAGCTTGCCAGTTACTGTAGCAGCAGCGTCACCAATAGTTGTAGAAACACTATCGAATTGCTTTTAACGCTATCAATTTTGACTTACGCCTACAAAGGTTTTTCTTCTTGTAACGCTACTTTTATTAAATATTCGAACCGGGCACATTTTGTTCCAATTTTTCGAAAAAAATCATATCTGTTAAAGAGATATATATTTTATTTAAATTAATATCAAAGTTTAAATTTTTAAAATACTTTGCATATGTAACTGCACCGCCAACTGCTACAAATGGTGTAAGGAATACAATAACTTTTCCAAAGCCTGCTCTTACACTGGGTGGTAAGCCATTACTGTTGCTATATTTATTGTGTGTTTGTTGTTGCAGAGTTCTCTAAAATGTTCATTAAAAAATAAATAATTTTAGTAAGAAACTCAACTTTTCCAAAAGTTTTACAGACAAGATTTTAACATTTAAGAAATAATAGAATATGAAATAAATGTTTAATCATTTTCCAAAAGTTATTTAGAAACTACTGGCAAGCTGAGTAGCATCAGAAATGTAAAAGACAAAAACAACTAAAAAGGTCTTTGATCTGAAATAATAAATTTAAACTAAAGTTATTTTATAGCGAATATTTTTGAATATTTTGAGGAGGCAAATTACTATAGTTAGGTACCAATTATATATATGTAAATTAACAAATCTTCAAATTTGTTTATTTTTATATTATATAAAGTAATTAATTAATATTAATAAGACAAGAAATCAATATAATCATAAAGATTTCAGCGCTATATCCTAAGTTAAGAGAATCTAAATAAACAAAAATGCAAATGTCCGTTTCATAGCACAAGAATTTTTCTGCCCTGTATTTTAACACACATGTAAATAGTCAAATCAATATAATGTAATTGGCCACTTTCAATTATGATTTTGGAAATATGAATCTTATGGTTTATTTGGTGACATAACAGCAAAGCAAATTTCACTGCTGTGTAGTGCCATAAGGTCGCTGGGAATGGGCAAGACAAGTGAGGTAGCATGTGTAACTAAATTGTCACATTCATACATGTCTGCATAAGATGTCTTACCTGCACAGCACTTTGCAAGGCTCCCAAGGCCAAACGATACTTTTGATGAAGCAAATATTTTAGGAATTTCTGCAACACGTTTAGCCGGCTTTAAAGGTTTTATTTTATCAAATCTCGGAATGAAAAATAATTCTTACCGAAATCAATTTTCGTGCGACAGCAGCAGAATAACTACAAAAGCTTTGACAGCTGTCAAGAAAAAAAATAAGAAAAGAGATAGATCGATAATACCGGTTTTGAAGTATTTTGCCGACAAAATACTTTGTATAATTACTAGTATAAAAAAATAGCACAAAAACTATCCAAGATGATAAATTTTAGTGTCATAAAATAAAATTCTTTTGAAAGAAAAAATATTTTATTATTCAGAGCATATATATATGTATATTTCAATTTGTTTATTAAAATATGTATTTAGTTTTACTTTCTATTCAGGCTCAAGTTCATTTCCATATAAATTTTACTGTTATGTTTGATATTAGATTTTAAACAAAGAAAACAACATTTGCTGTGTACAGCAGCTAGCCGTTTCATATTCTCCAATACTCATCAGCACCCGATTTGTTTTGTAGATTCTTCTTATTCGAATTTGTGTGTTTCGTATAATAATTGAATAGCACAAATGGCAATGATAATACTGTTCTCATGTGAGGTAAAACATTTGATTTTGACAACTTGGTTTATTTTTCTTTGTGGTTATGGCATAACAAGATTTAGAGCTACCTACAATTTATTAAGAGATTCAGAAAAATGTTACGATCATTAATTGGAAATAGTATGTATCAATATAATAGGTAAAAAAATTGTTGAATAATTTTTATTGCAGCTTTGGAGTGGCCCTTATGCCCAAATTTGTTTGCAAGACAACCTGTTGGAATTAGTGAACTTTGAAAAATCTTTCTATTCCTCCCAAGCAAATTACAAACTTCACCAAACAAAATACATACAGTTCTTGCATCGAATCACCTTTACAGCCATCATATACCGTGCAAGGCTTGTTGTTACAGACAACACGAAACGTAACAAAATTTTCACTTAATAAAAACGCAAGACAGTGAAAGCAGTTATCAAACGTTTCAGCGTCTTGATTGGGGCTGCTGGATTCTGTACTTATACCGGCCGTCAAAAGAAACTATTTAAAAAATCATCTGCCCGTAGACGTAGGCTGCGTCAACATGTTTTTACTAATTCAACTCAGAGTTGCTGGACAAAATGGTTACAAGCTTTTGGCGACGTCCGAAAACTGGATTGATGATCCATATGCTCCATACAACACACGTGACGAATTCTTTGCTACTAAAAGTAAAACATTTAAGGTGTAATTTATAATTGCTCAAATAAAGCGGGTAGCTTATTAGTTTCAGTTACATGATCTTATATTGCATCTTATACCACATGGAACATTGACCAAATTTATTTCTATTATTATTCATAATTAATGCAATATATAATAACTCAATTATTATTTTTTTGTCTTGGTTAAGGTGGTAAAATTTAAAAATTATCTTTTTTATCAAAACTTTAAAAAGGGTAACAGCGGAATCTAATATTTAAACTCATTTACATATACAGGATGTGCATAAAAATAACTCAACGTAGTTTAATTGAGAATCGTATATACCCATAGGAGTATTATCTCCGCCGAAGGTTTATTGTTAACACGTTGCTTTTCAGCCATAATAATGCATATGTTTTGATTACTGGTTGAAAGTACAAATGTACACATGTCCATTGATTAAACTATTTCAATTTGAACAATGAAGTGTTAAATGCATGACTGATGTAAATTTATATTATAAACCATTTTCGTTGTAGAATAGTGCTACCATACCTTAGAACATTTCGTTGATGATATTAGAAAAGGTAAAAATACGTTGCTGCATTAATAGAATGCATGATAGTATTTACCTAGTAAATAGTTTAATTGTCAAAGACAAATGACGAGCATACAGTCAGGTTTGGCTGAGCGGTCGGTTAAGCGCCAGATTTAAGCTCTGGTTCCTGAGAGGGAGCGTGGGTTCGAACCCCACACCAAGAGAAAGTTTGTTTTTTAATTTTTTAAACCAAGTTCTGTTCATATTTTATAATTGTTTTACAAAATGATTTATTCTCGTTATTTGTTAGAAATTCTATTATTTCAATAGAAATAATAGAATATAAAGTAAATGTTCGAACAAAATTTCAATCAGCGGAATCTCGGTTATATAATATATAGACATGCTGAAAGACTAGCAAAACCATTATCTGTCTTTGGCCTAAATAATATAATTTGTTTGTTTTAAAAAACCTTATATTAAATGTACTTTTTTACATACATATGTACACAATTATTCATTCGTTATTTTAAATGCATATTTTTTAAACACATTTACAAAATAAAAAATTATAAAAATATGAAAATTATGGTGAAACTACTTTATTAACAATTTTCCTAAGCACTGAATCTCACTTTCAATGACATCTCCAGGTTTTAAGTACTCTGAGGATTACGATGCATACCAACACCTTTGGGAGTACCAGTTAAAATTAAATCACCAGGTAACAAAGTACTAGAAAAACATGAAAACTTTTAATAACTAGTCAGATACATACATATATATATATTCACAACTTACTGCGATAAGCGACTCATCGATTTTAAAATCATTCCCTGTTATGCCATTTTTTTGTTTTCGACACCATTAATTTTGCAAGTCATTTGTAAATCATACGGATCTTTGATAATGCTTTTGTGAACGATTGATGGACCCAAAGGCAAGAATGTATCCATAGATTTACCAATTAAAATTGACCACCATTACGTTCCTTTTGCCAATCTTCGATATATCCTGCGCAACGCTGTAACCAAATACAAAGTCCATTGCTTTATCCATCTGACATTTTTACATTTTTACCAATAATAACAGCCATTTCAACTTCCCAATCTAGTTTCTAAAAGAAGCAAATGTAAACATCAATTTCTTATCGACATGAAAACGCATTAGGAATAAGCGTCATTTTTTAAATCCATTTAAAATGTTTCCTGTTAAAATTTTTTATATACCTACTATAGCAACTCTCTCCATCATATTTATTTCTTTTAGTGATGACACACTGTAGTTCGAGAGTGTTGCGCCTCACACACTCGTACTGTTTAAGGTTGTGCATTAAACTTTACTATGTATAAAGAGCATATACAATCTTATGCATATGGTTCCCTTTAAACCACTCATAGCAAATACTCTTGGCAAACTTTTTGTATATTATAATTAATAATAGTAAAACAAATTGATTATAATAGCAAATAACTTTGTATATGCATAGATAAGTATGCACATTTAAGTGTTTATGTTTGCTTACATTTGTTATTTTATTGGCAATTACATTGCCTAAAGGTCCCGTCAACGTATTATTGAATTTGCTAAAACATGGGTTCAGTAGGTGGCTTTGTTTTGTTCTTCACAATGATCCCTGTAGTTCAAAACCAATACAAATAATCTTATCAGGGTTCGTTATTGGGGCAGTAAAGTAAATCATTCATTTCCTCTGTTTTGGCATTTTCCAGTTTTGCTGTAGTTCCGACAACGAGTAGTTTTGAGAAATAAAGCCTCTCATGTCATTAGCAATACATGACCCATTTGATAGTTCAACAATTTTAGTGCCATCTTCGACACAACTCCCAAGCGAGTACGCTTGTCATTTTACGTAAAATTGCACAAAACGCATTTTTGGACTACATAAAATTAATATATCATACAAATAAAATAATTTATCTTTAGTAAAAATTTCTCTCTTTATATTACACTTACTAAATTTTATGGTAAGATCGCACACTAACGTAACCAACTCTCTTACACAATTGTTTAAACGGCTTGAGCTGCTGATGTGTATAATATGTATCCCCAAAGTAAAATAGCCATTGGTATGTATTTATTTGGAAACGTTTTATTGCAACTATATTTTTAATGGCAAATTTTTCAATACTTGAGAATTTTAACAATACTAAAATTTTTACAAATTATTTATTTAAACAAATTCCTATTAGAAAAACAAAATTAATAAGCAAGTCATTCACAGAAAAACGACTTCTGCCCAAACGGAAACAGAGCTGTTATAAATGAAATTTTTATATAGAAAGAAAAATATGATTAAATTGTTCTAGTATTTCAGAAGCTAAAAGTAAATTGGTATTTCCATATTTCCAAGAAAATCCTAAGTTGTTTCTTATTATATTCTGGAAATTTTTGTAGATCTCTTTAACCGATAATGCAGGGCTTTTCTTATGCTTACATTTATTTACAACTCTGTTCTGAATTGACAGTTCACAGCTGCTGAAGAACAAGAGGCAAGTGGAATGAATATTTTGCAAATTTTTCTAGAATTTAAACATCTAAAATATTTAATTATTTAAAGAAAATATTAATTACAGTAACTTACGGTATTTACTACATAACGAGACTATGGGTTTGCTAGCTAGAACACTTAAGCGAACATTGATGCAAGTGTAATTTAGAAAATAATTATTCTGTTGAACTAGTGCTTACATAAACATTTTGATGGTCCAAAAGATTTGTCTCAATTAGAAAAATCTTTGAGGTTATAACCTTTAACAGAAAACTAATTTAATAAATAACAAATAAACTTATGCATTTTCAGGGTCTACAAACCTGCTGGTCGTTCAATTCATACCACAGCTGCTGTCAATAGTGTGAGTAATAAACAATTTGTTTTTAAGTACCTAGATATTTTGTTTTCCAATCTTTTCAGGATCCTGAGCATGGTAATCGCACTACATGCACTCTAATACCAGGGATGGTGTTGGCCCTGAATTTTTTTTATATTCTACAAGAGGTTTTCAAGGTATGTATATATATATATATATATCGGAAAACACTTGTAACGTAACTTTATTTTTGATATACCTAAATCTGTCCTTGGTTTATAAAAGAACAACGTGTTTGATTTTACTTCCTTAGCAGGCTCTTTCTTAAAAATTTACTTCATTGATTAAATTAAATTACTGGAAGGGATGCAGATTTTGTCACAACTTAAAGTTTAGCAATTTTAAAACAAAATAGGGTCTCGAAAATTTGTTTATAGTTTAATAATAAAATGATTTTCAGCCAGTATTCTTAGTTGAAGTAAGCAAAGCAATTTGTGACTAATTTAGGGTGCGATATGAAAGGATAAATATAACTTGAATGTAAATATATGCTGATTAAGGTTAACCGCAATATAGCTTTAAGCATTTCAAACATTCTAGCGTACAAACCTTTAATATACATACATATATAATTAATAAGCAAACAGGTTTTTTGTAATCCCTTTTGCTTCCATAATTCTGGTTTGAAGTTTTAAAATTATATATGTTTGAATTTAAATGGGGTTTTAAACTGATTCTTATTAAAATTTGTTCAGTAGCTTAGTAGTAAAACCAGCAAATATATAATTTTTAAACAAATCAAGAACTATAGAAAAACTTGAATTTCGTATTTAAAGAATTTGGTCACTTGAGTCGACTGCCCAGAAACTAGTAAACATATGTATGTAATTGTTGATGTATCAAACAACAAATCTTATTGAATTTTTGATATTTCTTTATGTGCTTATTAAAAAAAAAAATAATGATTTGTAATTCATATCTCTATTAAAAAATTATGGCCAGTTGAGTTCTGAATATACACAAGCGATTATTTTCACATAAACATTTATATATGTATATAAATAATAGTTGTTTATGATAATTAAATTGAATTTATACAAATACATACACATTTTTATTATAAATAATACTAAATATCCTTTGTTGGCAATTTTGGTCCTGTCGCAACTGATAGCAGTGTCTTAAGAAGCAATTTTAGTAATAAGAATGGCTTAAAATTTGCATCAAATAAATATTCAAAGTTTGAAACCATCTTTACCTAATTCCAAATTTGATTTAATTTAAAAAGTCATGAATTCCATACTGATATATTGTAGCAATGTTTGAAACTTAGGTAAAACCTCAGATATCTGACGGTTCCATAATAAGCCTCCGGTTACTATATCAGAAGAAATGATCGTGAAGCTATGCGAGGTGGCGGCATCTCATCCAGAGTGGTGCTTGGAAAATCTGATCCTAAGTGTGGAATGTCTTTATTGAAATTCTCGAAAAGGAAGCAACGATTTTGATTGAGTTGTTTATGCTTCACATAGTAACTTACAGGGACTGGATAAACATTTTGGGATTTGTGCTGCCAATACGAATACGCGTGCATCTTAGGTGACCTTAACAACGACCTCCTTTATTTATTTTTATATTTTTGTTATGTTAGTTATATAAACATTAGTTATATAAACATAAAAACAAATTTAGTAAATTTTAACGACTATGCACTATATAGTTTATTATTAATACTACTTTGAGAGTTTTTGTTAATTAAAATATGCCTGATGCACCACAAAGGTTGTAGTATAATACGTGTTTGTATAATTATTTACAAATTATGTATATAAATAATTTTAGTTAGTGTAATTTAATGATATTTGCAGGGCGCTGATGTTCCAGTTGATTTTGAATCTTATTTTCTCTCTGAAGTTAATCCTGTTAAATTAGAAGATGTCGTTGCCTCCATCCAAAAGAACAAAGTTTGCATTAAGGTAATTAACAATAAAGCTATAAATATAGTGTGAACATATAAATATTATTAGTATTATCATCTAAAATATGTGATAATGAAATGGTATTAAAATTAATTTCAATAATTACATATACTTGTATTGCTATTTATTGTAACAGAGTATGATTTGATTGCAAAAGTTAAAAAGGCAAAAAAAATAAAATTTATATTGTTGAAGTAAATATTATTATAAAATAAGATTCACAGATTCATGTATGGTGTACAAAGATGCCGCTTTATCTGAGACAAGCAAGACGTTTAATAGTTTTGTGTTGTTACAAAAAATTAACTTGTTAACAATTTGTTGGTCTAATGTATACAGTTGCGTAATTTTAAAACATGTTGCTGAAAACTAAAGAAATTTATGTAGAATTTGATAAAAGTTTTCCATTTATTTATT